TATCTTTACCTTAAAGAAACAAATCAGCATTTTTAGTTCTTTTTTTTGGCTGGAGTTAAAATTGCTTTAATGGTAAATTTTTAATGATTTCTGCATAGCACCTTACAGTCCTTACAGTGCTAAAAGCCTTACCATGCTCCTTCTGCCATTTCCTTTCTTGAAGGAAACTTCTGAATGGAGCAAAGCCAGTTCCTGGCCCTATCATTATAACTGGTGAGTTTATCTGGTGAGGTAAGCGCATGGTTGACCGTCTGACAAACACCGGTAGCTTATCATCTTTTTTCTACAGTAATATCAGGATTGCTAGTTTTGCATTTCGAAGCAAAAAAAGAAAAAAATGACATGGGCTCTCGAAATCACCTTTTTTAAAAGAAAGTTTGTGCAAAGTCCTTTGATTAGGCGGTTACCTATTCTGTACCGTGTTATAACAGCTGTTATTGAAATAGTTGTCGGAGAGTATTTAGGGGAAGACGATATGCTATAATACCTGGCCTAAATACATCCAACTAAATTTACAAGAGGGTTTTGAGGAGCCTTAAAACATGAAGGTTTTCTGAACTATTTTTCTGCATCTTCGTCGAGAGGGGATTAACGATGGGGTTTGGAACCATTTTTTTACCATTCTGAAGAAAAACTGAACGGGTAATCATGAAATGCTGTCTACTTTTTGTTTCTGTGGCATTGAACGGCAGTTCAGGACTGCATCGACAATCTTGCTTAACACTTTCCCGAAATGACAGTGCATTTTTTCATTTCAGCCAGGAAAAGTTACCTGTAAGCGAGGTAGGAGTTCAAGAAGGTAGTCTACTGGAGGTTTACACGAAGAAAAATGTCTTAACACATCGACTATAGAGCGGCGCTCGTTTTGAATAAATTGACCGTACTCAGCCTGTAATCATTACATATATTCAATAAGGTGAGGAAGGTTTTTAGACGATAACAACTGCTACGAAGCTAATTTAGAGGAAATTAAATCTAGCGTACTAATCCTTTCTCATCAGCCGTACTGAGCAAAGCAAGACGCTCTTTCTCGTCGGGATCCTGAGCGAATTCAGCTATTGCTTTTAAAACGTGGGATTTAACTGGGGCACAAATATCAACGTAATGGGTTAGTGCGGTGCGTACAGTACAGGGGCATGGGAATGGGTGTCGTTTAGAACTATGCTCTGAAAGCAAAGGTGAGCAGAGCTAATGACCACCAAAAACTAAGGGATTATAAGTCTGGATAGAAACAGATAAATAATGATAAAAGCCTTAAAAGTCTTGCCATCGACATTAACAAGGCGAAAAGCCTGTTCCATGTCTGCGTTTAATAAACTTCCGAGTTCCTCCACTAATTCGCTGTCATTTGAAGGAAATACTCCGAGGTGATCTCCTGCCTCATATCTAGTAAAGGAATAGATTTAATTAGGTTTTTTTCCCCACTTATTTTAAATTTTAAGGATTTACCGGAGTCTCGGATCGACTTGGATTTCAATGTGACGGCAGCTTCTACTACTTCGCGGCGTATGCAATTCACGGTTAACAAGAACAGTTCCTAGAACTGGATTCTTCTGGTCGAACGGTCTACAAGCAGCTAATCTGTGATTCCGAGAAACCCAAGTGACATTGCTATTTATGTCATGTGCAAATATATGTGAGCCTTTCTGTGCCTCTTAACACGCCTTTTTTAAGTAATTTCTTAAAATTTTTTTTAAATTTTGCTGACTGCCGAGGTTTGGGCTTGGATTTAAATGAACGAAAAAGGAAGCTGGAAAAGTAAATCCACTACCAAGCGATACCGCATCAAAGTCGCAAGAATTGTCAGGTTGGTGTTCGACACGTCTGTCTTCCCTGGCCTGTAATTCAGCTTAGTCTTAAGGACATTTAACGAACCCTAATTTGTAGTTTTTTCATTTTTTTTCTATTTTTAAACACGTGTCAAACTGCTTGATTCAGCTTTGTAGTTGAGTAAATAAAACAAAAGTGAAAAAATTGAAGAGAAATGTTGGTATAAGTAAAAAAAAATTATGCATAAATGTTTATTTTATAAAATGTAGAAATTTGGCAAGGTCTTTTGACGGAAAGGAATAGATTTGTGTTGCAAATTAGAAACAAACTGATAAAACTTTGCTTTTACAGTAGTTGCATAGATTTTACATTGTAGAATCTGCATTAAAAGTGAGGGGCGAACTATATCCGGTATATTTCAATTGCAAGAGATTTATATTGAAGAAATTATATTTAATACGAAGATATTCGCAAACCATTATTGTAGGGACCTGTAAGAAGTCCTCTAAATTCTGGTCTTTAAATTCTTACTCAGTTGAAACGGTCGAGAAGAAGTTTTCCTGCAAGGGTATTTCCTGATACCGACGGAACAACGGCATGAATTTTTTGGATTCTACTCGCTTGAAGAGTTGAAAACCGCAGTGGCTGAAGAATTCGTCTCTTTACTTAGTTGGCAAGTAGCGAAAAAGACGCATAATTGTGATGTGGATGTTACTATGCTTTGCTACATAAAAGTAGAGGTGTTAAACATTAGGGAGGTATGAGGAATTATTAAAATACTGGAAATAGGCTTCTTCCGATTCCATTATAAGCTGTCAGATTTAAAAAATCAGGGCACAAGCGAGGAGTGTTGACTTAAACATGCACTCACTCGTGAAACCAACGATCCCCTTTGCCTTTTGCAAGCAAGTTCTGAAGCTGACGATGGTTTTGTTCCTGCAGGATACATGTGATTACTGCGGAAATGGATCCTATCAATCTCGCTTCGTTTTTAAGAGCATAATTCTCAACTCACTTAAAAAAACACTAACAATTTCTGACATGTTATAGAGTGAACAGTTCCACAAAAAAACGTTTTTTCTTACAAAAAATTTAAAATAAAATTTTCTTTTATTTTTTCAGCTTTGCTTTTGTTCTGTCTCCCCACCTTTTTAATGATTTGGTACATTTTCAAATGACGCTCAGAAACGCAGAACTTGAAAATCACTGAATTTCGAAATTGAGCTGAATTACAAGCCTGATAGGAGAGTTAATTCGAGCAGCGACCTAGCAACTTTTGCAACTCTCAGGCATTACCTGGTAGGGAACGCACTTTTTCCAAGTCTTCGAAATGCTTTTTAAAATTTGAGCTCAAATTCAAATAATCCGGAAATTTTTGAAAAAATCCAGACATACCTAGTAAAAAAGTCTGCTAGTTGATATGAAATTGTTGCCCATATATATATATATATATATATATATATATATAT